CAGTGTCTGCCCTAAACACTGTGCTTTAATGTTGGACCTGATATTCCAAATTATCGGGGGTTTTGAGACTGTTGGGCATCTAGTTTTTCTCTTCAGGGAGGCGTGTGACTTTGCTGTGTCAGCACGGGGCCTCTCTTGGCCTTCCGTGTAATCACGTGAGGCTTGCAGTCTAGAAATAATGATTGTTAAAACTGCCCACAAACACGTGATGTAAACAAGGTGCCACAGACACGCAGCCCCCAGCATAGTTTCCGGAAGCTGTGGTCTCACCCCCACCAGAGGACAGTCCGCTGGGGTGAAGCTTGGCATCTGGTGTCTCCGAAGCCCTTCCCGTGACTCCTGCCGAACAACTGCCCGCACGACATAGAAGACAGAGACTGCACACGTGTCATCAGGGGACGCTGGTTTTTTATATTGTTCCCGAAAGTAGGAGAGTGCAGATTGCTTGTTCTCAAACCACGCAGTACCGGTTCTAAACCAGTCCCATTCTTACCTTGGAAATAAGAGTCACATGTCGCCAGAGCAGCAGTAACCTGTTTTCCTGCCTTAATTTCCCATATCACACACTATGCAGAGTGGCATAAGATTGCCCAAATAACAGCTTCAGGAAGTTACTAGAAAGCAGAGTGTGGGGGTCGTTCTAGGTGATGTAATACAGCTATTTGGTTAGACCAAACATTTGGTCTCTAAAATTGGGCGCTGACGAGAAAAATGGGACGTGAAATGACTATTACTGTGAAAGAAAAACCAATTAATAATTTGGGGATGAAAGGGTCCCACCTTTCTCTCAAATAAGTAGGCAAAGTACAGTAGCAGCATGCCACCTCTTCACACCCTGTTTGGGAAAATTGGGAAATGTCTTCTCCACACCACTGGGAAATAAACAAGAGTTTAAACGCTACCCCCCATTAAAAACAAAACACACTCCGGTCTGTTGTCTTGCAGGGGGAGGAGTCCCGGTTTGCATCAGGGCCTCCTTCGCAGACCTCTTCAGCCTTGTCCGCGCTGTCCTGCCTGCCAGGGGAGAGCGGCCCCCTCTCATGAAGCTTCGGCCTGAATTAGCTCATGGGCCGGTGACAATGTTTGCCAGAGCGGTCCCACCTCATGCACAACGTCATTACCCCAGTGGGCCACGAGAGCGGCTAAAATCAGAAAGACGGCAGTACCAACTGCTGCCGAGGACCTGGAGCAACTGGAATGCGCACACGTTTGCTTCATTCAGACAGACACTTTGGAGAGCTCTTTGGCTGTTTCCTACAAAATTAATCATATACTTCCCCGATCACAGAGCAAACCACTCCCAGCTGCTTACCTAAAAGAATTGGAAACGTGTCCACACATGCAAAAAAGAGCTGTGTACAAGCATGTGCTTAGCAGCCTTAATCTTAATTATAGGCCCAAACTGGAAATAACCCACACGTCCATCAGTAGGAGCCTGGATAAACAAATTGTGAAATAGTCATACAATGGAATACTATTCAAAAAAATCAGAAAGAGTTACAGATGCATGCAACAGCATGGAGTCAGTCTCAGAGACACTATGTTGAGCGAAACAAGCCAGATTCAAAAGAATTCGTACTCTGTCATTCCATTTATGTGATATTCTAGAATGGGCAAAACTTAACTATAGTGATGGCGGTCAGGGCGGTGATTGCCCACTGGGGGTGGGCATGGACTGGCGAGGGCGCTGGAGGAGTAGTGGGGATGTCCTGTACCTTGTTTTGGGTGGTATAGGCAGTTGTCAAAATTCTTTGAACTAAATACTTAAGATACGTACATTTTAGTGTATTTACATCATAACCCCCAGAAAGCACTGCCTCATCCTTGCGGAGGACGAATATGCTCCTTGGGAATATAAGGGGTTGCTTTTGAGAAACTTTCCCATGTTGTTATGGTAATGAGCCACCACTGACTTTGGAGGTTTCAAAAATTAGCAAGTCTGTTGATAAAGCTCCCTTACGCTTTGGTGACAAAAAACATTGATAAAGCGCAGTGTCAAAAAGGGTGTGTTTTTTCTGTCTTTTGTTTTTAATAACACTAAATCTTGTAGGACTGTTTTTAGGCGGTTGCGTAATCTCTCCCAACATCAGCCGCAGGTGACGGGGAGGCTAAGTTGGCGGCTTTCTAGGCTGGAAGCTGTGGGTTCGCCTGTCCTTTGTGCAGGAGTCCTGGCCGTGCCAGCGGGTTGCTGTGTAAACATCAGGATTGAGTGCGCTGGGCAGTTTCTGGCTTATCACAGGTATGCAGGTGCTGCTGGGATCCCTTGGTCATTTATCTAAAATTTCATTTGTATTCACACAGGGCTTCTGAAATGAGGGCTTGGTAGAATCATCTTCAGAGGATGTTCCAGGGTATTGAACTCAGATAGCTACCCTGTTTTGCTTAAAGCTAAGCTTAAAATTGGCACCAGCCTATAGGCATTTTGTATGGGGAGAGAGTGGGCACGCATGAGTTCAGGAAATGAAGAACTAGCTTTCAGCCCTAATTTTGCTTCCTCCCTCCTGTGGCAAGTTGGTGGGGGCTCACTCAGTACATTATCTGGCCATGGTATTTTCTCTGCTGCTGCCCTGCAGAGTTAGGGCCAGTCTCCTTCCAGTGCGGGGAGAATGTGTGCTCCCAGCAGGTGATGGGTGGGCTCAGCACAGCTGCCTCTAAGCCGAGCCTTTCGAGGGGCGCACAGCTCCTAACTGTTCAACCGCTGCATAGGCACCCTGAGCAAATGGATTTGCAACTTGCATTGCCACCCTTGCTGAAAGGGCTCCCAGTAACGGTTGCACACTCACGGGAAACAATGTTTTTGGAAAGCCAAACCTCAGAAACAAGGCAGAGGCACCCTTGGCCTTTGGATGGAACAACATTTTCAGAGAGGAAGGTGAGGGGCAGGGAGGGCCGAGGAGACAGGTGGGGATTGCAGCCACAAGTATTCTTACGGATCCGGTTGTCATTGCAGATTGCGTTGTTATGTTGCAGTGTCACTCGGTGGAGATGGATTGGGAATTTTATTCCCTCCTGTGTTTCTTTTTGTTACTGTTTTCCAAATTTTCTTTTACTTAAAATTTGAAACTGGTGCCTGGTGTTTCTGGTGCTAAATGGAAATTAAACTTATGCCGTGGGTATTGTGCTCTCTCCCGCCCAGGGAGGTGCGCCGGGGAGAGGGAAGTTCTTCCTCACACGCAGGGGAGGGGAGAGGGCTGGAGCACGACGGCTGGTTTGCATCCTGATGACTCTGCCACAGATACTTGGGGGAAGGTGCAGACTTAGTTTTTCTTCTGTAAAATGGGTATTGTGAAGGATTAAATAAAGTGCTTTGTGAGAAGTCCTGACACACAGTGATGCACAAAGAAACCCTAGTTTCCTTCTCCTTGGAGTGAACTGTTGCCTTCTCTGTCTTTATGACATCTTTTCAAATTCACCCTGTGCTGGAGAACACAAAGTCTGTCACCACATTCATGGCGGCTGGTCCTGGGGCACCGTGGATACTTGTGATTTTCCCCCAAACCTCGCTACTTCTCAGTTTAACTGCTGTAAAATGCCGGGCACCACCGACAGGGCTCTGCGGTGGTGTTCGGAGGCAGGAGGGCTGTGGTTGGGCCCGGACTTGGCCAGATGGGTAAGGTGGGTGCCTGGGATCGGGGGTGGGGTGGGGACACTGTGAGGACAGACCCCAGGCAGGAAAGCCCTGTGTGCAGATGAGCCACAGGACCGCGGTGCGCGTGGTTGTCCAGCTGGAGCAGAGGATGGAAACCAGAGTGGCGGACGCCCAGATGCCAGGCTTGGGCCGGGTGAACCACCCCTTCGTACTGCACAGTGGGAGCTGCCCTGGGCCCCCCAGTTCTCAGCCCCTCTGAGTCCCTGTGCAGGTCCCCGGGTTAATCGTCCCTCGGTCCCTGTGCCCTGCCTCCCTCTACAGGTCTCACTCCACTTTGCAGTGAGTTTCTAGCAAAACATCTATTCTGGTAGCACCAAGTGGTTGAGGACTCCAGAAAAGAAAACTCAGGGAACATGAAGGGCGTGGACACTTTCCCAGGTGGCCACCCTTCCAGCCAGCTTGCCGGGTGCCGGCCAGCTCCTTGCCCCCAGTCTTTGCTCCCTTGAAACCCAAACGTAAGGACTCTGTACTCCCCAGCCCCCATTTCTATTCAGAATAAACTCCTCCCTCCGTCTGCTTTCGGCCCGTGTTCCTTTTTGACTCAGCGAACACCTGAGTTGGCCCTGCGACTCTGTCCCTCGAAACCCTCTCTACCCGTGTCCTCCCGGGCGCTCCCGGGCTCGGTGCCGGGAACAAGTCCGTCTCCTGGAGAGCCAGCCGTGTTCCCTGCTGCTCTTCCCTCCTTCCTCTTCTGCAGGGAGTCTCCCTCCCTCCGCCCCTCTCTGTGGAAACCCTGTTCGTCTTTCCAGACACCTCTCACTTCTGCCATCTCTAAAAAGCCCCCCAACAAACCCAAAAGAAGGTTCCGGGGGGGGAACCGAATCCAACTCGGAGAAAATAAAACAACGAATTTTAAATCACCGAAAGCAAGGAACAAGAACCAATCAACCTCCCGGTCCGGGGGGAAAACCCCCGGGCCCCGCCCCAAGGGGCCGTGACATGGTACTGGCTCCGAGATGAACGTGCATGGAGGGAAAATGAGCTGACGGTGAGTGGAGGAACCCAGTGAGGCCAGTCTGCTCCATAGTGAAGCGACGTGGGCAGCTCCGACGTTTCTCTCTATGACGGATTTAGGACAGTGTTCTGATCAGGACGGCCTTGGAGCACTTTGCAAGACAGACAACAGCACACGTCAAACTGGAAGACTGGGGACGAGAGGCCACAGAGCCCCAGAGAGGACCCAGCCCCTTCTGTCCCCTTGACGTTCCTGCCGGGTGCATGGGTTGTCTCCCACTGAATTTAATGCCGCCTGTTGTTTTTCTGTTGCGGGATGGTTTGCGTTGATTAAATTACATCTCACGGTTTTTGAGAGAAAAAGTGCTAATACGTGTGTTCCTTCTGTTTCTTGCAGGCCACTATGGTCCTGAGCTCCGCACACTTCTGGCTGGGGTTATTTCTGGTTCCGACGGCCTGTCTGATTGAAGACGTGGCGTGGAGAGCGTAAGTTGAGAAATGAGGTGGCGACGCTGAGTCTGGTGCGTCTGTCCTTGCGATCGTCTTTCACTGCAGTTCTGAAAAAAAACGGTCTCCTGCTACCTGCCAGCAAGAGTTTTTCTTTTAATTTTTAAATTTAACTTTTGCTTCATCTTAGTACGAAAATATAGACCAAAAGGAGCCCTGAGAGGACCGTGTGAAGGCCGATGGGGATGACTGTAAGGAAGAGTTTTCTGAGCACAGACCCATTCCATCACGTTTAGGAAGCACGACTCAAAATCCGTGTCTCTGTCACTGAAACCCAGTGTTAAGTGATCACAAATATGGCCTGGCTTTAAATCCCCTGCTTAAAGGAAAATGGTGTATATGTAAGTCATATGTGTATGTGTGAGTCATTTCAAATTACAAGAACAAAGTAGTCTTCATTTTTCCAACAATTCACAGTAAGAATCCTAATAAAATTCTTCTAAAAAGTTAGTTTGCAGGTTTATTATAAAATCAGTCACAAAGATGAAATTATAATATAGGTTATATAGGAAATAATTCATACTCATAATAATTCATAATTTTTGCTTTTATATTTTAAAATATATCATTTCCAACATACCTTGTGTACAGTGTAAAAGAAACAGCTAAGTTCCAATATAATGTAAATTTAATATCATCCACGAGCAAAAGGAGAGGATGCTCCAGATGAGGTATTAATTTTAGTGAGTTTTGTTTTGGGTGGGCCCAGTTCTTTCTACAAATAGTTGCCAACTTCCCTGAAAATTGGGATTCCTAGCTTGGCTTAACTTTGGGCAAAGCATAATTATCTTGGGGCCCTGAGGTAGAGAATTGAGACTTTAATCCAAACCTTCCAGGAAAAGACATCAGATTTCATTTCTATCTCTCCGTTGCTCCCACAGTCAGTGAGAATTATTCTTGCCTGACAGTTAAGGATGTCTTTTGAAAAAGTCTTCATTTTGGCTTTATCTTGACGACCAGTGATACCTAATGCAGAGAGAAGGGGAGAGAATATTATGGCACATATATTTTTTCCCCTATTAACTGAGTTTTTCAACTTAGTAAAAATTAAATACCAATTTCTTAAATGCTTTCATTTATCATTATTTCCACTTTATTTGCTAAAACTGTGTTCTGTAAATAGCAGAATCAAAACCCTTGGAAATGAAAATTATAGCCAGGAAAGATGTTTCCTTAATCTAATAGAGGTACTGTAAGAAAGTATTAGTTCTACCACATGTTCTTTCAGCCAGTAGGCCCACTTTTGGCTCAATATATTCCCATGCTGGACTTGTTCAGTTTTGCAAAGATAAGTTCATTTTAGATAAATACAGCATGGTCTTGGCTATATTGGATGACTTTTTCAGTTTATAATGATTGAGAAGTAGCAACCTGATTATCAGCTATCTTAAATTAATGTCATCAAAAATTTTTTACTGAGACTATGTATTTGCACAAGACTTTAGCAAAAGTGTCTATCTTCCATCTCGAAGAGAATGTTTATAGATTACGAAGCCTCTGTGCCTCCTTGTCTGTTTTCTGGATCTTTTTTCAGTGCGTTCCAAGTAAAAACTCCCCATCACCAAGAAGCAGATAATCTATTCCCTCAAACAGGACTTGTTTTTGGTTTCTCCTGGTGCTGTAAAATTAGCACCATTTACATTTTAACAAGGATAAATCAAACGATACTGTTTCCAGCACCACCATATGGAAAGAGTAAAAGTCACTTCCTTTCCAAGGAGCTTGCCAGCCAGGTCAGCGCAGGGACCAAGGCCGTGCAAGGGTGCCGCTGGGGTACAGGGAAGGTCGGCCCTGTGCTGTCCCTCCTAAGCCAGACACTGTGGACCTGAGACACGGCTTTTCCCAGGAGCTGACAGTATCTCAGTTCTGGGCTGAGCTGGAAAGGCCCCTGCTGAATTCCAGAGGCACTTCCTGAAACACATTTTGTCTTGTTTTATTTGGAGGAGCAGAGAAGACAGCGTATATTGGCTATCACCTGGAGTATTTGCCAAAATTACATATATGCTCAATTTGTAATATCTACTTAATGTCCAAACTAAGTCACCTCTGTCTTCAAAAGGAAGGATTTTGTGAGTTTATTTGGGCATTTTCCCTCTGATCAAGGGGCCCATATTATAACTCATATTATACTCAGAGCCTGGGATATTTGTTGTCAAGGCAAGTAAGTCCAAAGGCCTCTCCCAGTGAGAGAAGGCGTGTTGTGACTTGCTTCCCTCTGCTGAGGCCACAGAGCTTCACCGTGATTTCTCTTTCTGAACTGCAGCTTTAGAAAATGTCTTCTGGCCTTTTCTTCCCATACACTGAACAAAAATATCAGTCCTGACTGTTCCCAATCAGCCATCATTTGGTTTAAGTTGTCAGATACTTACTGAGGCGTGATACACTGCGATGCAGCCTGAACTACCTGGAAGGGTTTTCGATTACCGAATGGGATTGAGGAGCAGCTTCAGAGCTTGCTCTGTGACAGCAGCACACGCCCACGGCCGCGTTACAGACCTGGCCACAGTATCGTTGCACTTCTTCAATTTTGCCTTGGGCCAATCTTAAGGACTTTCTGTTCTGTTTTGTTTTGAATTTTGGTGGTTATTGCTGTCTTTTGAAAGGGCTTTTAAATTCTAGCACAAGGTCACCCTGCCTTTTCAACCCCATTTCTGTGGGTGCTTAAGAAACCAAGCTGCTCTGTCTTCGCGAATTTTCCCCCTTTCTCTGTCCGGTCTCTCACTGCCTTTTTAGGACCAGGGCTGCTCAGAGTAAGAAAAGAGACACAGAATGAGGTAATTCAGTCACTTTTTCCATGAAGTCTGTCAACTTTTTGGATGAAGATTTATTAATAGACTATCTTAAGTCAGGTTTGGAACACCGTAAAATGCCTACGCTATTATCCTGCTAACCAGGATTTTCGTGAGGGACCAAACTAACCTATCTCTTACTAAAATAACTGATTGATTACACTCGATACCTGGCTAGTGAGTATTTTTATTAGAAGCATGAAGTTTAAATTGCCCAGACCTAGTTTAATATCCCTTCACTTACACTCTTGCGAAGTGTTTACCTATGACGGCATGCTTAGGTAAGCTGCCATGCTCGGGTTCTGTCGAGGGGAAGTTCATTAGCATTGCTTTACAGAAATAATACGAAGCTCGAGGCCCCCAAACACAGAGGAACCAGTTTCCTTTTATCTAGCTGTATCTCCTGTGCTGTGCCATTCATCACACAATACATTCCCAATTCCACAGTGACTTCATTTCCTTATTATAACCCCAGATAGGCAGTTCAATGGAAATAAGAGGTAATGAGCAACTTCTATATACAAATGGGCCTTGGTTTTTGTTTCGTTTTTTTTTTTAACTTTCGAATGCAACTAATTTCTTTTGAAGCACATTGTATTTACTTTTTCATCTACATTTAGAATTTAATATTTTCTTTTTATTTGCTGTCCTTGCATGCAAAAGAAAGAGTCGAGGTAAAAGTTTTCAGAAACAAAATGATGGAAAGTTCAAGATCCTAAACCAATCTGTTTCTTTTCAAAGTCCCTCAGAACCTGGAGTCATCTGAAAGGTCACGATGACTCTCACACTCAGGTGTCAGTAGCCAGACACCCCCACCCTTCTGTGCTATCTGACCTCTTGGAGCGGGGTTAGCTGAAGCAAGCCCTGGGCCACTAGGCTAAGCCATTTGCAGATAATGCAGCTGACTCTGTCAAAGCTGCGACTGGGAACACCCGAACCTCTACTCATGGCGGGACCTAAATGATGTGACAGTCACTGATGCTTAAAGATTGACTTTATAACCTACAAATGTTACGTTGTAGTCCACTCACATATAGACTTTGACAGGGGGGATTTTAGAATCATTTTTTTGATTCAGGCCTTATTAGATAAAGGTGCTTGAGGAAACCGTTTTAAATTGCCACATCCCTTGCTCCCAAGGGCAACCTGCAGCAAGAGTAGCCAGTGTTGCCATTCAGTGTTCTCCAACAGCAGCTGAGTTCCCAGCCCAGCTCTCAGGTGCTAGCCTAGTGGAAACTGCTCAAATTGCCAAGTAACTCTTGGATGTGGATGCAGTTTCATCCACTGAGAACATATACAATGCCTGGGGGCATCAAGACACTCAGACTGTCACCTTCTGAGGCCATTTGTGAATGAGTGAAAACAGGCAGCTTCAGTGTGGTGGTTGGAGTCTCTCTTTTCTTGCCTAAGCTATAGATGCCCGGCGCCCCGCACCCAGAGGCCCAACCTTCCTAGTCCACCCCTCTCTCCCAGCCCAGGAGATAACAAAGGGGGCTGTTCTATACCCTGCATGGGAGCAGAGGGCTGCGGGCAGGATGCTGGTGGAGTGAGGGGTCCTGAAAGAGGGAGAGAGCAACTCGCCCTTCGGGAGTAGCCAGACGGCTCTCCTGGGACCCGTGTGTGCGGTGGCTCAGAGCAGGCTGGGGCACACCACTCAGTGCTTATCAGTCTAGCCTCGTAAGCCCAGGAGATAAAAGGCACAGTCTGGGGCCCACATACTCAGTAATATTGAACAGTATACATTTGAACATCCTTTGGACTATCTCCTTTCCAGCAAAATGTTAGACGTTTTCTCATTTATCGTTTAACTTAAAATTCCACAGCCTCTGCTTTGAACTGCAGTGTTGTATGAACCCTGAGTCTCAGGACACTGTTTGATGTAATTACGGTATTATGTGTTAAAACCCGTGTGGTTTTCTCTGTTTACTTTGTGGGGAAGGACGACAGGCACATATGCGGTGTCTTAGTGCTAATACTCGTTGCAGATTAACTTGAGTGTCAGGAGATGACTTGGCATTATCTTAACGGACTTTCTTTCCTTGAAGGTGGAGGGTGGGCGGGGAGTAGGCGACTCTGCTGAACCAGCGGCGTCTTCAGAATGTCCGCATGACATTGATTTCATTTCCGGGCAGATGTGCTCAGTCTTTGTCCTTATTCTCTCTGTGAGTCCCGGTACTAGCAGGATCCTCACGTGTGTGGATATTGAAATTAAACCAGCGTACAGCTTTTCGTAACAAGGAAACCTGCTGTGTGTGGCTAACTTACAAGCCTTTTCTTTTTACAGTTTTTCTTTTGTCTGACCTATATCTTGTAAAATGCCTTTTCTTCACCTAGATTATTTCCAGTGAGTAGTCCAGTTTTAGCCTCGTTCAGTCTCCATTTTAGAAAGACCCCGAGATCAGCCAACTATTGGAACACTGGGGGGCATTCCTCTTAGTTTCATCAGAAGAAAGGGTACAGGTACCTCTTCCTGTGGTTTAGGAAGGGCGGAAGTTCACACTGCTGTAGCAAAGCCAGCTTGCTTTTGTTGTTTGGACGGTTGTATTACGCCATCGAGGCCTATGTACGTGGACCCTGATGGAGAATCGTTAGCAAAGCAAGGCGGGGAATCTGTGCGTGGGTGCTGGGGTTGACTCCACATCTCAGGTCGAGGGTTTTGCAGCCAGGACGTGATCGCTGGCATCCTAAGCCCCGTCGCTGCTGCGGCAGCGGCTCTTTTCAGACTAAAAAGGGAGGGAGGACGCTTGCTAACCCCCGGGCTCTCTGACTGCATTTGGGGCAAGGACCAGGGTGAGGATTTAAAACATCTTCTGGCCTTCAGATCCCGCAGCGAAGACTTTAGAGGCAGACCCTGGGTCTTCATGAACCCCGCCCAGTCTTTGGTCTGAGTAACTGGGCTCCAGCACCAGCTCTCCAGACTTCCCGTCCTTTGCGGGTGGGGAGGTGGCGCCCCTGACATTCGTGGTCCCGGTCTGCGGAGCAGGAGCCCCTGTCACGCACGGACACTTGAACGGTCCATGCCTACCTGGGCCTTGGCGGGAGGGCACCCGGGCGTGGCTGAGAGGGGAGCCACAGGTCTTCACAGCTGTGTCAAGTTCCTATGCCATGTTCTTTTTGTCTTTCCCTCGTGATACAGGGCCAAGCATACCTGCAAAAAGACATTGCTGGAGGAGGTGCAGGAGCTGGAAACCAAGTCCAGAGTGATGGGAAAGGCCATGCTTCGGGATAGTAATGGAAAGAGGTGGGGCAGCGCCCTCGGAATGCTCACGGAGCACGGGTCCTCCCGACCTTCCCCCGACTCCTTGCTGCGTTTCTTTTTCTCGCCTTGGTTCTCCCCGAGAGCACAGCAGGCTCAGTTTCGAGCATTCAGGTTGTTGTCAGTGAGATTTAAATTGCACTCTCTTCGTGGCCACGTGGAATCCGACTTTCTGGGTGGCTGGGCCTGTCCCCAGGTAAGACTGGGATTCGCGTTGGGTCTGGAGGTGGGTAGAACAGCCCACGCGCAGAAGCGGGCATCACAGCAACGTCATCTTAAGGCGGGAGAGTCCGGGGTGGCTGTGTTGCCAAAGAGGATTTCAGAACCAGGCCTCTGGGTTCAGGCCCAGTTACCGTCCCCAAGGGTGCATGTGCACCGTGAGGGTCCGCACCCAGATAATCATTAGCTGTTCGTGGGTGTCTTGTTAAGTCCGCTTCAGCAGGGGAGTGTTTTCAATGAACTATTATTTTCTACTGGGCTTGAGGAAGACGTGGGAACTC